TAATATCAATTTCAATCAGTAGAAATTGAAAAATAAGATTACTAATTAAAGTTTCTTACATTAGCTGCATTTTTTTTATTGACGACTGCAAATGGTTTAAATACAATGTCTTAAATCAGTTTTGTACTGCCTTAAAACAAATATCGATTATCATATGTTACAATAATACAAAATAATTGTGTTTAGTGTGAATGAGAGAAGAAATAAATTGATATAAAAGGTTTAGTTCCAGTAATCAGGCGTCACAATCACAATTATTCTTAAAACAATTTGAAAAATATTAAGAAATCAATGAAAAAATGTTTTTTTTTTGCCATCCCTCGTTAGAAATCGTTATCATTATTGATTTTAGCTTTAATTATGATGCAAGCTACACTTTTTATGGGCCATATTAGGATGGATTAAAAGATCAGGTTTAAAATAAAATACCTAATAAAAACAATTTACCCAGGTAGATTGTCAAAGAAATTTCAAGTGTATACATTTAACATTTTTCGTTTACAGTATGGTTAGCAATTTTGATTTTTGCAATTTATATACCGATACAGTATTTTTTACAGTGCTTTTCAAATTACTGTGACCAGCAAATTCAACACATCACGCAGGAAATCAGGAATCTAAAAAAAATGCCAATCTATGATTGGTTAAAAATTCATTAGAATAATTTTTAGCCAATCATAGATGGGCATTTTTTGATTTCCGGTATGGTACGTGGAATTTGCTGGTCACAGTAATTTGAAAAGCGCTGTAATCAGTGTGGTACGGTATACCGATACGATATAAATCTAAATATATATATAGAAACATTTGGAAAATTTGTCTTAGCACGTGCGTACATATTTATGTGTTTATTAGTTTGCTTAGCATAAACATAACGTTTGCCGTAAAGAACTTTGCAACTCTTGATTATGGTAAGGCTTTGTAAATGGCTCAGTGCAAAAAAGAAAAAAAAAACATTATGGCTATGCACCATAAAACAAATTTCGATAAAAACAATGGCTTCGGAATTTTGAATGAATTCTAGATTCTGGAAAAATAACTACGATGAGTACTAAGCTACATCGATCAGGATCCAAAACATCGAAAGAAGACACTTCCTCTGAACAGGTCACTATCGAGGTCGGTGATGATGATACCCCTCACAATAAAAAAACAATCACAAGTATTTCCTGCTCACCAAATGGAACATATGTAGCAACTTGGAGTGAAGAAGACAAATCAGTGTTTGGATATCCCGTTGTTAAAGGACAAGAAGAACTTAAATTTGATTACTTGATCAATGATACTGAGCATTTACCTAATTGCAAATTATATGGAGTTTCTGATAACAAACATGTCATACTAATGACAGAGAGACATGTTCCTTATAATTTTGGTTGGTTTCTTAAACCTTTGATTGATATACGTTTGTGGTTAATCATTTGAACTAATTTAAATATTTTTAAGAATTAATAAATTTCATGACAAAAAAGCCTTGTCTTCTAAACGCTCAAGGTTTAGAAGGTGAGATTCATGAAATTGGTTTCCTCGAAAACGATGATTTGGTGGTAATTAAAGGTGATCCTGTAAATAGAGCCTATATCTTTTCGAAACTAGACTGGTTGTGCAAGAACATGATAGAACTTCCCAAGTTCAATAGATGTTTCATCCATCCAAAAGGAAAATTGTTACTACTTCTTGATTTACCATTCTTAATTTCACAATGGGATTTAAAAACTCTAGTGCTTGAAAATCAATATTTGTTGAATGGTTATTTATTTGGACATCGTTTGGATATAAAAGCTTGGTTAAATTACGACTTGACAATGCTGGTAGTATATGGCAAACATTTAAATTGGGATATGTTCTATATATATTCTGTAGAAACCGGTGCTATAATGGCAAAATGTAAGCTTATCATCATATTTCGTGGCTAACATAACTTCTTCATTATGATCAAATGCATATAATATACTTATTTATTTATTTATTTTTTTAATCATCCAGGCGACAAGTTTGAAATTGTCCCTCCTGCAATTATAGATAAGTTAGAATTCTTTGGCCCTCCTAATGGAGAACGATTTCTTATTAAAGGACATTTCGTAAAATCTCTCAACGTAATGTACAAGATCGCAGATCCATATACTTTAAATAAAGTTGATTCTGCGATCAATCTTTTAAAACATGGTGACAATGAAGTAAAAGTATTTACAGTCCACCAAAACCATATAATAAGAGTATGGAACAGTCATTTATTTGTTCAAGAATTAGTAGAAACTGAATGGTTTGAATATTTACGATCACAACTTAATGACAACGGCCTGATTACAACTTTTTTTTGTGGCGAATCTGTTAAGGAAACGTTGGAAGCTACTTTAAAAGAGTATAAATCAGATCATGATCCTGGTTCCGCGTCCAAAAAACGAACTTTTCCAGGTCATTCGTTCACTTGGAATTTGACCTTTGGTGATTCGTTTAAAACAAGAAAACATTTTACATTAAAAGCCCAAAAATATGATTATGAAAAGAAAGGTTGGGACCCTATTGAGACAAAAATAGAAATTCCTTCAAATCATTTTTTGGATGAATCCACTTATTTCATGGAATGTAAACTTCTTGATAGTGAAGATTTATTGATGATTACACCTATTGGTGTATTTATCTGGACCATTAAATCTGACGGTGGAATTGGTTTACTTTATTATTGGGGACTTTACGATGGTACCAGGTTTAAAACCCCACAAGAAGGAATAATAAAGAATATCGAATCGATCCTTGAAGATGATAAATTAAAATTTTCAAACAATAAATTATTACCTTCTCCACATTTTAACAAGATTGCTAAAATGCGCAAACAAAATACTTGGTATACAGAACATGACAAAAGAGTGGCTACTATAGATGCACCTAATTTTCAAGATTTACTTGACTATTACATGAATGACGTATTGCTTTTGGAGTTATACGGTGATGATCTTATGTGCGCATTATTACAAGAGAGTGATGATGAATTGGTCGAAACATTTTTCAAAAAATGTCTTAGATTAAGTGAATTTCAAATAGAAGATGGAAATATTTCATCCTCTATTAAATTAGTAAATATTATCCTTACTTCATTTCCGCAATTATCTGAAAAATCTTTTACTTTTGTTATTAGTTTGTTAGCACATTTAGCACTTATTCCTTCTCATAATTTTAAAGATTCTTTAGTAGTTAATTCTAATGCTTCCCATCTTCAATATTGTGGAGAATATTTTTATTTAAAAAAAACTTCATTAATAACCCGTATACTTTATTGGATTTCATTTAATTATCCTACGCTTAACAATACCTTAATATTTCCCTTTTCATTTCAGCAATCCAAATCCCAATTAACTATCAAATTAATGTTTCCTTTATTAAATTTTTCCACTTATTCTAAAAAATATTCAACTGTAAAAGAATTAATTATTCCTCATAACAATTCTTTCACCTCTACATTTTCACCCGAAATTTATGAATGGTGGGGTCTTGAAGCTCTTGTTCAGTTTAAATGGTCCACTTATGGAAGAAACTATTACCTAGTTATATGGACAATATATACAGCTTTTATGGGTTGTTTTGTTATCGCTGCAACCATGTCACAATTGTCTTGGAGTAAAAAAGCTATTCTCTTGGAATTAACCATTTTCTTAGGAATTTTTCATTTATTATTTGAAATACGTCGATTTATTTATGATCCAAAATTATTTTTATTTAGCTATTGGCATTGGTTTAGTACGTATATTACAATATTTTGTTTTATATAATTATATAAATTATATATGATTTTATAAAATTATATATATTTTATATAATTATATATAATTATATATAATTCTATATAATTCTATATAATTCTATATAATTCTATATAATTCTATATAATTCGATTATTCTTTTTCATTCTAACTTTTTATATTATAATTAGATGTCGTCGTGATATTGTTTCCAACTTTTGCCTCTATTGCATGGCTTCAAACTGGATCCATGCCACTTTGGGAAACAGTCATTTCAACTTTATTACTTGAATTGAAATTTATGCTTTTCTTTCGTGCAATTAAATATTTTGGAACTTATTTTGCAATAATGATTAGAGTTGCACAAAAAGTTTTTTCTTTTTTGGTAGTTTGGGCAATCTTTATTTTTGCATTCGCACATGCTTTGCATATTCTATTAAAACCAACTTTATCAGATTATTTGAAGCAGCAAAATTATGCCAGTAATTCTACGAGTCTCAGTTCAAAACGTCAATACATTTTATCTAATGATACTACTTCAACTGCCGCAAACGCCACACTTTCAGATGAATTTTATGAAAATTTGTACATGTTTTCAAAGTTATATTCTTCTTTTTTAGCCGTATATTTTATGATGACAGGTAATAATACCTTATATTTTATATTTTATATTATTGTATTATTGTAACTATTATTTATTTTTTTATTACATTTATTAGGGGATTTGAGTCTGATTAGTCCATCGGTTCTTACTGAAGAATGGATATTAGTTATTTTATTAGTTATATTTTCATTTTCCACAACTATTTATTTGATGAACCTGTTTATTGGTTTACTTAGTCTTGCAATTAGTGAAGCAAATAACAAACAATCATTTTTATATTTGAGAGCTGTGGTAATTAATCAATCTAATAATCTCTCATGAGTTAATAAGAAAACTTTTTAACATTTTATATATTCCTTAGACATTAAGTGAAATTGAACTTTTTTGGATGTTACCATGTCAAAGAAGAAAGAAAGACTGGTTTCCTGATTTCTTGTAAATAAAAATTTATTTAAATAATCAGCATATATTATTTTAATAACCAATTGTATTTTTTTAATATTATTGTAGGAATTATGAAGCATCAGTGGATGAAGTTCGTAAATTGGTTAGTTTGGTGCACAACAAGAATTATGCTAGTTCCAATCCACCATACATCTCATCTTCATTAATAGACATGATTAATATGACAATAAAAGCTGATACTATTGAAGGAGTTGGAGAAAGAATTGATGGTCTTGAAAAGAAAATTAATGGAATTAATGATGATATTAAAAAGATAATGAGATCTGATGAAATTGAAACTCAATTTAATGACTTTAGTGAAGATATGAAAAGCATTAAAGAGAAAATTACAAAGATGATGAATTTAATCGAAAATTTGTCTTTAAGTCATAAAGGTGATGATGAGGGTGAAGATAAATAATAGTTCCAAACAATTTAAAATTACATTTTTTAAAACAAATCTTTGTTTATATGAAGTTTTTTTTTAATTTAAACTCTTTTTGTGACTCTTATTTTTCATGTTGCATCTTTTTTTTATGTATTACATAATAATAATCAACCAATTTTTATACAGAACTAGATATTAGTATAAACAGAACACTTGGTATGTTAAGAGAACTATTGATCATCAAAGATATTGTAAACAAAATCATTAGATTTCTGTAACTGTAATATTGAATAAAGTGCGTAAAGAAATTGTATAAAAATGAGTTACGTTTATTTTACCGACAAGTACTTCATCGAATGCAAACGTTTACGTATCATATGAATTGAAGAATAAATATCAGATAATTGTACTAAAGTGGGTATGCAGAGTATTTGCGTATACACTATCGCCTATCTGTTACGTTACGTAACGTACGTACGTATCCAAGAAATTACGGATTTACGCACGTACGTACTGTCGTTCCCAGAAAGCTGCGACTCGGTCGCCCCACGATCCAAGAACTCGTGTAACCTGGGGTTGGTAACCTTACGAAAGAGGTGCGTTAGATTTGGCTAGTGGGTGATCAAGGCTTCAGTTACCCTGTCCAGGAACGGTAGGTAGATCACGTGAGCAAGAACTGAGCGAACAACGAGTTCTAACTTTTAGGGTTATAGTGTATATTAGTGTAGCGGCAATTAATATAATATTATTATGGGCGAATTAATAAAGTATAGGACTTATTTATTTATTGAAGCAAAAGCCGAGCATCCTTTCTCGGGGCGACAATGCCCTTTATTTATAATATATTTTTATTTAGGACTTATTATAATCAATAATTCCCGTTTACATATTCTCTTTAATAAAACCCTTGAATCTAATTAAACCTTTAAACTATAAAAAACCCTTCTACTCATTAAAACTAATAAACTGTCTTTAGTGGTTTTACCAGTTTTCTCCTTTATACCCAATTTCTCCATTATCCCACCAGTAAACCTATTTTAGGTAATGGATCGTCATAGCCGCGACAACGTGAGCTTGGCGCAGCAATCTCCGATTCACTATTTCCGGACCTCACATTATATTATGCGAACTTATAATTAGGCTCGTTAGAAAATAGTTTAGTTATGCTATACGAATAATTAATAAATATGTATTACTGTAATAATTGAACTAATAAAAGATTATAGTGTGTAGATTTTATTTTTTATTGAAAATAGTATTACTACATATGCGGTAAAAAAAATAGTTTTGAGCTAATCCACTAGTCATATAGATAAGAAAAGAGACGAATTTGACAAAAAAATAACAGACACAAAAAATTAATTAT